AATAACAATAACAATAATAATAATGATAATAAAAATAAAAATAAAAATAGTAATTTTATAATTTTGCTTCGTTTACATAGACTTGTCGAGAAAGTTATCCGAGGTCAATTTTAAGAACGACAGAAATTAAAGCTATTTATCTGTTTTGGAAATTTTTTCTTTTAATTTCATTCATTAGTTAAGAATATTCTCGTCCAAGTCAGCCCCACGAACATCAGGGGATATATATTTGTACTTTTTCTATGCACATTTAAGTTACATTGATTCCTACTTCCAGGAGTTTTGAAATGGAAAAAAGAGAAGCTTACTGTGTAGTAAATGTACGAGACGTAATGAATCGTTTTTGTCCCATTTTTTCTTTTATTCTCATTCAAAACTGCTCATAAGCCTCGCTCAAGGAGCATATCTAATGATGAACAAATGAGAGATGGATGTTCAATTCTGGTTATCCATTAGGCGAATAAATTTGACAATCTCTCGTTATTTATAAGCAGCTGAATAGCGAGCAACATGATATTCAGTGTAATAAAGCACCATTCTCGGTAGTTTAGCTCTTACAGCTATTCTATGTATAATTCTACCATTGTTTTGTGAATATACCAATCAGCAAAGATATCGTAGAGTTGAAGTACATCTAAAAGAAATATGAATTACGATCTTTTTTACTCCCCGATATTAGCATTTTAGTGGACTGCTTGATCATAGATACCTTTGTCGCTTTTGAAGGAGATTTTTAAGCAAAGAAGTTTACGAGACATCAGTTACGATTCTTTCGATCTCAAACTCTGGAATACCATGTTCATTAGAAAAGGAAGTATATTTCGAGTTTATCAGTATCCGACAATCGATAATTACACCAGCTAAAGGTGCTAGTAGTTAGCGTAGCCATGGCAACAGAGAGTAGTTGAAGATTTGAATACTAAATGTGCTAGACGTGTCTGGAACTTTATCATCCTCAGTGAAAAAAACTCAAACAAATAAGTGGTATCAACTTACCAGCAAAGCCTAGCTTGAAGTGTTTTAGTGAGTTTAAAACCCGTTAAGAATCTTGTTCTAATATTGACGCGCCATGTTTGCCCCACTCTAATTTCATGAAGGAAAGAAAGAAAGAAAGAAAGAACTCGATCGTAGCTATGCAAATCACACCTCCATTTTATTCAAGCAGTAATGCCTCAAATATACTTTTTGCGATGTCGTGTAAATTGTGCAGATTTTAGCAATCTAACTGGGATGACCACGTGCGTGTTACTATAGTGATCTTGACAGTGGTTTGTTATGATATCATCATAACATCAGCTACAATAAAAAAAAGAGAGAGAGAAGAGTGTCTAAGGACTAAAGGAAAGCTGAAACATCACTCAAGCATATTCTTAAAGTGTTTATGAAACCAAATGTTCGACCTCCGTATTATTTTAAAACAACAAAATTTAACATTTTCCGAGTATCGTGATGCTATTTTTTTTGGAATTCAGTGTAACTAAATAWTTTTTTTTCGCCTTCGAAAATCAGTCATTTGCACCAAAAACTGTCCGGGGTCTGGGACCTAGTTTACAACCACGATGACGTCACTGCGAGGACTCGTGTTTATCCGTGCAAGTCAGTACAGAGTTGTATTTTTATAGTTTTTGTGCCTCATTCGCTCGAATCTATCATGTCTGACTTAGAATCA